TTTGTATACGGCCTCACTTCTGTTCCTCTTCGTTTGAAACTTCTCGACGACATGCGGATGCTTGGGGATAGCACTTTGAACATTGGCAGTCTCTACTCTATCCAAGGAAATCATCGCATACAGTGATCGAAATAATGATATGCCACCCACAATTTTCAGCTTTCTCTGCGTTCCAATTGGTTTAAATGAGCCCAAAATACAACCAATTAGAATCGAACATGATTGGCATCCAGTGCCATCCGCGATTTGACGATCCGAGGTCAAGCTGCCGAGAAATTGGCGGGAGAATAAAAACCCGCGAGAAATTTTGATATGACTGGTTCGGTCATTCTTCTTTTTTGCAGTGCAGTCAAACTCAAGTGTAAGCTAAATGACTTCACACATGTCCACAAACGTCTGATGCATGCAAACCAACCTCGTAGACAGCCTAGCCATGTTGAGGGGAGAACCTCTCACCGATGACGAGAAGCTGGAAGCTCTGGTCCTGCGCCGCGAGGATCGGAGCACCAGCTACATCGCCAAAGAGCTTGGACGCTCCCGCGGTTGTATACGAGCGTTTTTGAGCAATTCATCGGCATACGGCGTCGCACGTTCGCCCGGACGACCGTCCAAAGTTAGCCATGCCTTGCACCGCCGAATGATTCGAGCTGCCCGCACTGGCAAGTAAACAGCGGCTGAGCTCGTGGAGAAGCATTCTCTTCCCGTCGGACAACGTCGTGTCTGTCAACTTCTCAACAAGAGCGGCAAGCTCGAGTTCAAGAAGCGTCTTTCCGCACCAATGATTATGGCGCGAGCGCACCAAAAAGCACGCGTCGAATGAGCAAAGGAGGCACGCGGCTGGGGTGCCAAGTTTGACGACATCATCTGGTCAGATGAAAAGAAGTGGAACCTGGACTGGCCCGACAGGTTCAGCTTCTACTGGGCCGACCTCAACGGGCGTCGCGAGCACTTTTCCAAGCGTCAAAAGGCGGCGGGGGTGTGATGGTGTGGGGAGGATTTAGCAGTCGCGGCAATACAGAGTTGGCCTTCTTGACTGGTAAGCAAAGCAAGGAGTCGTATATCAATACGATTTCGGACTTTATGCTGCCCTTCACGCACTGGAAGCACAAGGATGAGCACCAATTCCAACAAGACAACGCTTCGATCCATACGGCAGGTGCTGGTTTGGAGTGGTTCAAGGAGCCTGAAGTCAAGGTGGACGTGATGAAGTGGCCTGCGAAGTCACCCGACTTGAATCCAATTGAAAACCTCTGGGGAATCATGTCCCGGAAGGTCTACGACAACGGGCGCCGTCAATTTTCGACCAAGGCTGACCTCATTGCCTGTGTGCGCCAAGTTTGGGACGAGATCGACATCTCTTTGCTCAAGAAACTTGTGGCAAGGATGCCGAAGCGATGCGACTTAGTTGTGGCGAGCAAATGTCGTAAAATCAAGTACTAAATGAGTGCCTCTTAACTGTAAATGTGTCATATCTTTATTTCTTCGACAATTTCTGTCTCATGGCTCTCGAATACAAAGGAAGTGATATAAACCGTTCGGATGGTCACACCTATATTTTAAATGATAGCACAAGGCTAACAAATAGTCGTTGTACAGTCGAATGCCCACGACATGCCTTCTATATATTGAGAAAAAACCAGCCAGGCATATCTTTATTTCGATCACTGTAGCAGCTTTTGACTTGTCGACATGCGAGTAGTCCCAAAGCTCTCAACTCGCGCGAAGTGATTTATACGAGCACAGCGTGAGTCGTCTCTCTGTCTGGAATTCCTATGCCTATCGTCAAAATGATATTGTCACCCAAATGACGCAAACAGATGCGCATATTGTGGTATTTTTGACTCGACCGCGTCGGGCGACGTGGTAGTCAGTGCCGACTGAGGTGCATTCTGTTGAAGCGAGGAAGAGTGAGCTGATGGCTGCAAGGCCAGTGGAGTAGATTCAAGTGTGAATCACTTTTCGTTATAAACCTCCGACCTCTGTGGATATGAATGGCTGTAGTAGCTCCTATATGAACATGCAGATTGTTGATCAACGATTAACATTCTCAACACTCCCTTATGTTGGTTGTGGGTCAGCCTGTGCAGTCCAGTTTGCATCTTTGGCATGGCTTGCGGTGGACATCGCGGCGTTCTTGGGCTTCGTGATGGCGTCTCTCATGGACACTTCGGTCAAGATATCGGCGAGTTGGTCGGCGGTCCCGACGTGGTGGATAGCGGTGGTGCCGTCGACGACAAGTTGCCGGACGTAGTGAAACCGGACGTCCATGTGTTTGCTCCGCTCGCTGACACCGCCCCCCTCGGCTGTCGCACTTGCCGACTTGTTGTCGCACAAGGTAAGTGTCGGTGCATTTTGATTGACACCTAACTCTTGCAAAATGCCGCGGAGCCAGACGATTTCCTTCGCAAGCTCCACCAAAGCGATGTACTCGGCTTCGCAAGTGGACAACGCCACGACCCGTTGACGTGCGGACTTCCACGACATCGCTCCGCTGCCAACAAAACACACAAAACCTGTGGTCGAACGGCGTCCGCTGCGATTGGCCCAGCTAGCGTCGCTGTAGCCGACGAGTCCACAGTTGCTCATCCGGTACGTGAGTCCATGATCGATAGTCGTATCGTAATAAACGTTTGGCACCGACCATGTGGGGTTCACGCGGGTCGTGGAGGTGTCGAGACAGACGTTGGACGGCGTGGGCGATGTCCGGTCGTGTGCACACCATCAAGTACGTGAGTGATCCGACCATGGATCTGTAGGTTGACTGATCGGCCGAAAGTTGTGATTCATCGTGCGTGCCATAGGTTTTGTGGTCGTCCACTTCGGGAGTAGCATACCCATGGCAGTCGGTCATGCCGAACCGGTCCAGTACCTTCTTGGCGTAGGCACACTGGGACATTGTAAGTTCTCGCTTGGCCTCGTCATAGTTGATCTTGATCCCTAGGAAGTATGCGGCTTTTCCTTGGCGTTTCAGCTACATCTTAGCTTCGAGCTGGCCGAGAATCCTGTTGGCTGCGTCGTCCTTCTTGGCCATGACGAGAAAGTCGTCGACGTAAATGCATATGAATTCCATCTTCTCCCCTGACCTTCTGATGTAGAAGCATGGGTCGCACTGACTGGGGCGGAAACCGACGGAGACGAGGATCTTGCGGCAGTGGTCGTCCAGGTGGTTGATCGACGTATAGCATAATGCCATTGTCCTTGGAGGCTTGAACGAAGGCCGTGTCGGCGTCAGCTTGAACGATGACGAACCCCTTGACTACGAATGCGGCGCACGTGCGAACAGTTGCCATCTTCACGACAGGGGAGTACGTGTTTGAATAGTCGATCCCTTCTACTTGACAGTAGCCTTGTACACTAAACGGGCCTTGTAGTGAACTACGACGCCGTCGGAGTTGGTTTTCTTGGCGTATGTCCACCGCGACCCGATTGCATTTCGTCCTGGTGGTAGATACATGAGTTTCAACGTCCCGACGTCATTGAGCTGCTTGAGTTCAAGTTGCTCGGCCTTGGCCCACTCGTCCCGTTGTCGCGACGCCATGGCCACCCTGTGGCTGTTGGGTACATCATCTGTGATCGGCAAGGCCAAGCAAGCGAACTCAACTCCATCCACCGTCGTCGACATCGAAACATGGTCTTCCTCATTCGCGGCGTTGGCATCGCCGCGAGTTGCTCGGTTCAGGTCGTGCAGGACACGGTCAACGGGGTCGTTCCCTTGACGGTTGGTAGGTGCTTCATCCATATATCTGGACGGAGTCCTCATGGTCGTTCTGTCGCGCAGGAGCATTCGTCGATTTTCGCTCGCTGGCGCAGCGGAGGGCAGGTACGTACGCGTCGGTCTCCCTGTTGTGCCGATCTCCGATGAGTCGATGTTGAGCCCTTTGTAGAGAGTACTGGAGTCGCCGGTGAACGTTTTCGGTGGGACCTTGAAGTGGCTTCGGGGCTTGGTGGCGGTGGTTGTTTGGTGGCGTGGCGCTGTCATCGGGGTGGTGGTGAGTCTTGGCTGGTATGTCTCCCCTTGGATAACGCTTCTTCATCTTCGTCGTCGTCGTCATCATCGGTCGTGATTAGGTACTCATCAATGGGGGTTCGTTCCCCGATGAACTCGTTCTCGCGGAACTGGACGTGGACGCTAGTGACCATCTTCTGGTGCTCCAGGTCGTATAGTTTGTACGACTTCTGGTGTTCAGCGTATCCCATCACCACACACTTCGTTGCTTTGGGTGTGAGTTTGTCCCGCTTTTCTGGCTCCTTCATAAGAATGTAAGCGACGCATCCGAAGACCCGCAACTTGTCCAAACGCGCTGGGTGGCCGGTAAACGTTTGGATGGGGGACTGGTGGCGCTGAGACCGTGCGACACTCGGTTTTGGATGAAGACGGCCGTGTTTACGGCCTCCGCCCACCACCGTCTGGCCATTCCGTCGTGGGACAACATGGCCATGGCCATTTCCATAATCGACCGGTGAGCGCGCTCTGCCATCCCGTTTTGCCACTGATTCGGTGCTGTAGACGTCTCATGCGTGATGACCCACTTGGCCAGTGCATCGGCGAACGTGGTGGATGAGTATTCGGGGCCGCCGTCGGAGTGGAACACTTTGACGTTGCGGCCGGTCTGCGCCTTGGACCACGCTATGATCTTCGCAAAGTCGTTGTGTTGGGTGGCACTGTCAATGGAATTGACGAAACGTTCGACTTTCATGCCCGAACCGGCGTCGACGTACACTGTGTAATACTTGCACCCGCCGACTGACGCTGTTCTCATCGGCCCCTTGCTGTCCGACACCCAGCATTCGCCAGGCTTGAACGATCGTGTGTGCGTCTTTGGAGGTGAGATCTTTGTGATCTTGTTCTTGACGCAGCACTCACATTTCTTCCTCGGCTCGTGTAAGTTGCCCGGCGTACCAAGGCCCATAGGCTGCAGCGGTTGATCGCGGCAACGGGTAGGTGTCCTACTCGTTGATGCCAGAGGTCCGACGTATCGTCTGCAGATTTCTTGCGTGGGTTGATCACGGCGCTATTGCAGTGTTCGACGGTGGCTTGGTCGAGGACGTACACCTTGTACCTAGGGTCCAACGTTGCCGTTGCGATTGGTACGGAATCGTGCATGATGCTGCAGCCATTGGTCTTGAAGG